TATGATATTGAGTTATACAATAAATAGAAAAGTTCAAAATTACATGAAATAAGATGCTCCCTTTTTAAAAGTTAAAAATCTACTTTTATAATCTACTTTTTTTCCCTTTCTAAAATAGCCTAAATTTATGAAGAAATTTGTTTGAGTTATTCATAACTAAGTTTTAAGATAAACAATTCTTGCTTACAAAGCCCAATCAACACTCATTCCAACAAGAACATCCAAAATACATCATGGCATTGAATGACATGTTTGATCGAAAAAGTATAATTTTTATAAAAATATTTTCAAATTTACATCTCAATACATCATTTCAATAATTAGACTTTAATGAATATAATAATTGAAATTTATAGTCCAATCCCAAAATAAATAAAAAATGAATTTGAAATAAAAGAATAGTCATTGACTGAATTTGGAAAGTTGTTAACAAGGATGATGCTGACTAATGTGTGCCTTATTCTAACTATGTGAAATATAAGAAATTGAATCAATTTAGAGGAAAATTTGTGATAATGATGATGTCTATTGGTGGCATTTATATTTAAAAGATTTTGCTTGTTGATGATGAGTATGCTCCTTATCAGTTGAGGGCAAGGCTATTTGAAAAAAAAAATGTGGCAATTATACAAGTATCCCTCGTAATGGACACTATAAAGTTGAGTATTCAAATAAGTTTGAGGAAATTGCTGTTTGAAAGAACCTATGATAACAATGATGCTTATCTATCTATCTTGATCAATAATTAGAATAGTTGGGTGCAATTTTGTTTAAAGATGATATTCATGATGACTAATGTAAAGATGAACATAATTGGATTAGTTGGGAGATAATTTAGCTTAAAAAAATCTATGGTAATCATTTATCCAAAATGATGACATAGAAAACTCCATTACAAGTTGAAATGGGTAGAGTTGATAACTCTTTTTATAATGAAAATTAGGTAGCATGAAATGAACATCTTCAAACTATATTTGGAGACAATGATAAGCAAAATTGATATGGGTTTAGCTAGCACAATAAATGAACCACACTAAAAAAAAAAAAAGCATGGGAAGGCAAGCTAATAGGAAGCATTGAATGTATCAAAATAATTCAAGTCTAGACAATAAAAAAGATAATCCTTCAATATAAAAGTAAATCCCATTGTTAAAGTCTACCAAAAATACCTGTAAAGAAAGGAATTTATCAAGAAAATATGGCAATCACTATTGAAAAGGCCTTATTATAGCAAAAAAGGAAGATCACAGACTGGGGTAAGGTCACAATCCATATATAGTTGAGAACCATATGTTTGAAGTTGAGCTTCAATTCAATTTTGCTAATAAATTATAAAAACAACTATAATCTTATTTAAATTAGTTGAGATATTGTTTTATTTATCTTTAAGTTATTATTAGATCTTTTAGAAATATTAATACCTTTATTTAAATTTGGATTCACTGAAATATTATTTACCATGTTTATACATATCTAATAAGTATATCCTTTTAGACTTTGGATTTTTTTCTAGTGTAAATATTTTTTTGTAGACATATTGTAAGGTTAAACTATCTTTAATAAGTAAATTAGAATTCTTGCGATCTTCTGTGTGATTGAGTGATTTTCATATTAAGTTCTTGAATGAATATGTAAACTCTTTAAAGGATTGATCAATTTCATTGTGATTTTATATTACTTGCTCACGTCTTTTTATAGCCATATATGATGGGGTTGATAAATGCCTATAACTTTAGTTCTCTAAGGAAAATTTTTATTGAATCAAGTTGCAAATCATTCAAATATAATTTTAGCGTATATTATGAGATATTTGCATCACTATCTGTTAAAATTAAGATCATTTTTTTTTTCTAATTAAAATTGTAAATAGGAAAAAACCTAAACAAAGTGAGCTTTGGTATAAAACCCATATATATATATATATATATATATATATATATATGCTGGTACGCGTGGAATTCGATATAAGTTATGCTGAGGATTTAGATTTTAGATTGGACCACCCATCTATTTGAGTTCGGGTTTATTATTAAGTAATTTTTTAAACTATAAAAGATAATTTTGTTACCAGTTTAATTTTGTAATTAGGTCTAGTCCATAAGATTATTTCTCAGGTCTAGTCCATAAGATTATTTCTCAAACCCATTACCTTATAAAGGCCATGAAATAAGTCTGATCAATTTTTTTAGTTTCTTTTTCTAGAATTGGTTCTTTATGAACTTGGATATTTTTTGCCATTTTTTAAAAGAACAAATTATCATGAATAATTTTGATATTATAATAGGTAATTAAAAAGGAATTTATTTTTGTTATTAATAAGAATTAATTCATATAAGTTTTTGTTCTAAAATTCACCTACAAAGAGTTTTCTATACTATTTTTCTCACCCTTTTCTCCACCTTAATTTTAATATTTTCTCTTTTGTTTTGAACTTTATTTTTCTCCCACATCTAAAGTTTAGGTTTAGTCTTCTTATGAGATACCCAAGTCATATTTTCTTGGTTCATTAACCTTGTTCAAAAATGCAAATAAACAATGTGGAGTAGGGGTGATAAAATCTTAGGATGTTTATTGCAAACAATTCTTTGCACCAAGTAACGAGCAATAAAAAATTTTAAGTATAAAAAATTCATCATTGACAATAATAATGATTGATTTTTTTTTAAAGTAATTCAACAAGTATCCCTTTTTATTTCAATAAAACATATTATTATGTAATTTAGGATTATATTTATGTATTTTATGCTTCTTCGTATATATATACACGTGCGGGCTTGATATCATTTTTATATTATTTTAGTTTTGATTGCATATTTACATAACGCATATATTTTGCATGCTTTTATATAAATCTTTACGTTCTCTAGTTTAATCTTAGCTATTTTATTTAATTAAAATATTTTTGTTATGATAAACTAAATTTGCTCACTAACTAATCTATTTTAATACCTTTATTTTTATAGAGTAAACATAAAATATTTATTCAAAAACAATCTTGATCTTAGATTTCTTACCTCTTTTGTAACCATTAAATACAACCTAGAAACAGGAGGAGAGGCTAAATTTATGTTGAAAAAATATTTGAATTTTAAAAATACATAATGAGTAAATGAAAGTCATAAAAATTGGATTTATCCATTTTTAAGTTAAAATTTTGTTTTTAAATATTCTTCATCATAATATAAGTTTTTCTATTCACATTAATTTTATTAATTTTTGATCTATTCCATTTCATTGTATTTCTTTATTTCATTTTTTAATTTAATTTTTTTTTTGTTGTATTAGATAAAATAAATAGAAAATCTAAAAGTAATTATAGATAAATAAAAAATTAATCTAAAGAATCCTAGTTAGTATTTGATAAGATTTTTTTTTTTTCAAGATCTCTAGGTAGCGTTTGGCTACTATTTTAGGACAAAAGATATAGAGACAAAAAAGACAAAAAAGACAAAAAAGAAATGAGACACAAGATTATGTTTTATAGTGATGTACGAGATAAAATAGTTATCTTTGTATTCTATTTAATTATGGTGGTTTGTATTCTATTTAATTATGGTAGATAAAACAAAATAAAATATAAAAAATATATTTTATCCTTAATATATATTATTACTAGATTTATATATTTTAAAAACTAATTAGATGTCTTTTTACTTTATTTTATAATGAGTGTTGAAATTAATAATATTATAATAACCTTAGATATAAAATCAGGACTAACTTCGTAGGTTGACTCAGGACCTAGATTAGTCCGGGTTTAAGGAAAAAAAAAGAATTAACTCGACATGACCCACTTAAAAACCCAAGTCAACTTAAGATAAAACACATGTTAAAAAATATTGATTTTTTTTGAAAAAAATAGTGAAAACAAAGTTGTGATTTTTTTTTAAAATTTGGGTCATCCACGATGACCCTTCCAAACCGTCACCTAAATCTTGTCTCTAGTCAACTCCCGATAAGAGTTTTAAAACTATGATAATAATTATTTTTATTTATATGTTAACTTGGTCAATCCGTGTTGACCTTTTCAGTTTGTGATTTAGGTTTTGCTTTGGCTGACTCTCAAGTTAGAATTTAAAACTATGATAACAATAAATTTTATCATTATATTAACTCAAGTCAACCTGGATTAAATTATATTTTTAAGTTATCATAATAAATTATTTTTATTTTATTTTGACCTAAGTCAACCTGAGTTGACACTCCTAATATATTGACCCTTAAGTTAATTTTAAAATTATAAAAATAATTATTTTTATTTTTATTTTAATATAGATGAATAGTCAATATAGATCAATAATTAACTTCACTTGTAAGTTAGGCCTTAACTATAAATGATGTCTAAATTAAATTCTAAAATTATAATAATAATAATTTTTATTTATATATTATCAAGTTTAGTTGGATCAACTCAGATTTAAAAATTATAATATTTATTATTTTTATTTTTATATACTTTACTTTAACAATTAATAATTTTTTATAATAATATTATAAAAAAATATTATTTTTAAAGACCTGTTCTCTTTATAATTCATGTTTTAAAAGTATAAAAATTTACTTAAGATTCATCCTAGTAATAAATTAATCTTTATTTTTTTAACCAAATATTATTTTTATATTTTTATCCCTTCCATTTTAAAACAATAATCAAAGCAATAATTAAGTACCATCCCAGGACACTTACTTCTACTTCTAATTTCTATGGTTATTCTAGGTTTGTTTTTTGGTATACGAAGAAAACTCCATTAGATTAAATATAAAAGTGCATCAATAATGAAAAACAATTTGTATCAGTTGTAAATTTTCTTGTGATATTTTAAGATGTTTGATATTTTTCTTAATTTTTTTGTATGCATTACTTCTCCTTTTATTTTTCGTTGTAGTTTTAAATTTAATTATTAATTTATCATTGAAAAAAATAAATTAAACTTCACTTGAATTTAAATTGAATGGAAGTCCATGAAGAATCAAGAATTAAGGGTAAAGAAAAACAAGAGTGAATTAAACTAGGTAGCATAACCAATTTTTATTTGCATTAATTCAACAATTGCTCCACCCATAATCAGCAGAGGGATAGAGTGGACAATAAAGATGCTACCAAGAAAGAAGATAGTGTATCTCTTTTCTACGCCAAGAAATTAGTATCAAGAGAAGGATTCCAACAATGATCACTTCTAAATCTATAATAGCGCTTTGATCCTTATCTCTAAGCAGCAGATGGGGCAGTGACATATTGAACAGCGCCGGCTTCAGAGAGAGCTGCAATGAATGGCTGTAAGTTCACCGGCTCAGCATCAGTAGTACTATCCGCCACAAGTTTCCTGGAGTCCAGTGATTCATCACTGTAAATGTCCCACCATTTCTTCACCAGCATCTTTATATCATCTCTCTGCATGTTCTCTTCTTTGCCAGTGTATCTCCAAGGCTTTGAGCCCTACACAGATGTATCCAGCAAATCAATTAGTCACAAGATTACTCAATCTTTACTCCTCAAAACTAAAAACAAATGATACGAAAGTAAAAGTGGAATACTCACCGCAGCACAGTAGTGAACAACTTTGACCTTGTCAAGCTCCACATTTTCTGGGTGACGCCATAGCATGGCAAGAACAAGATTGTAGACTAGAGGAATTGGCGTGTAAATATCCTTGAAGTACATGTTCAAAAAGTCCTGCCAAAAGAACAACAAAAAAGAAAAGTTAGAAAAACTCTAAAATCCTTCATCAAAACACAACATGACGATCAAATTCAAAATCATGGAACAGAACACCATACCTGTTCCGCAAATGGGGTAGGAGGAGTGACTTTGAGAGTCTTCAAGAGATCATGATAAGTGGCAATACTAGGCTCAAACACAAACATGCCAGCATTGAAGTAAGGAGATGGTGGCTGACCCATTTCAGCTGGCCAGTTAACCTTGTCAGGGCATTGCTGGCAATAGCCAATCTTATACTGCGGAGTGTGACTCCATGTTTTCTCACAGAAACAATCCATCACCGCATAAAAACGCCCATCAGGCAGATCAAATAGGTGGTCTATGTTGTCATAAACCTGGATATCCCCATCCAAGTATATCATCTTGCTGTATTCCACAAACTGCAATTTAATCAAAAAACATACTCTCAACATTAACATATCAACACATTAAAAGTTACAAATAATTAAAACGAGTCATTAGCGTACGACAAAATTGAAAGTACTTCATTAGAAGAAGATGATACGGCCCTTCTTTATTAAACAAGGGCATTTTCGTCCGCAGGAAATTGGACACCCCCATTTGTCATAGCTAAGATGCAATGGAGGTCAGGAAGTACTATATCCCACAATAGATTGACACGTGTAAGAATGGGAGCACCCAGATAATCCACGTTCAAGTAGCACAAAAGAAATAAGATTCTCTGACAACCCTACGTCATAAGTACGTACGTACGTACCTCCCAAATACGGAGCTTGGAGTAGTTGATGACGTAGTAAGCCATGGCAAACTGGGTCTGGTTCTCTGGCGGGTAAACGGGTTCGATTTCCCGGACTATACATCCTTGAGATTCCAAGATCTGCCTGTGTTCCTCTGGCACGTCAGGTAAGACAGCCACGATTAATGGATATGCCGTATTGACCTTTCTTAAGCCTTTGGCTAGCCCGACAACGCCTTTCACGTAATCTCCATCACCAGCCAAGAACGTTACATAAGCCCTACTAGGTAAGCTAGCGAGCTTTGTGAACCCGGCTGGTTTCAAAGCAGACTGTACAAGCTCAGGAGCCATGTTGCGGTCGTCGAAGAGGGAGATGAAAGAGACTGAGAGGAGAGACTTTAAAAGAGAACTTGAGAGAAGAAATGGAGAGGAAAGCTGGCTGTTGTTCTAGGCTGGCTGTGAGGTGATGACTTGGGGGGGGTTAAATAGTAGCTAAGAAGGTATTCTCCAGGTTTTTTTTAATGAAATTCTTAAATGTGATGTTTAATTGTGAGCCTTACACGTGCCAGGCGAGTTGATCCAGCGGTTGTATTGGAGCCGACAGAATGTTCTGGATAGGAACCAAAAAAAATGGGGAGGGTATGGATTGGAAGGCACTGGAAGGGGCTACAATTGGGAGTGCGGTATAAATCATATGTGTCTCGGACTAGAATAAGCTTTTGGGCTGTTTCAGAAGTCGAATGAAAATAAGCCCTTGGATAGAGAAAGAGAGGATGCAATTTGTGTGCCAGGACACTTGGCAACGAAGTTAACTTTCCCTGCAATGCCGAGACGTGTTTAGAAAGGTGGTTCACTCTGTATTTTTTAAAAATTTTAAAAAAAATTATTTTTTATTTTTATTAAAATTTAATATAATTTATATGTTTTAAATTGTTTTGATAGGATGATATTAAAAATAATTTTTAAAAAAATAAAAAAATTATTAATATATATTTTAATATAAAAAATTATTTGAAAAATAATTATTACCACACTAACCAAACATATTCTAAATATATTAAATGCTTGACTTGCGCTTCATTATACATATCAAAAATTGTTTTAATAAAAAATTATACATTTAAGTTTTGTGGTATGTTTTTATAATTAAACAAAATTCTAAGTAAAAAAAATTACACATACAAGTAATTAATTAAATAAATCAATAAATAAAAATAAAATTATAAACAATAAATAAAAATAAAATAAGAAAAATAAAAAATAAAAATAGATCAAAATATTTAATCTTATAAGATAATATTTTTATCCAATTATGTTTGCTAAATATATTTATTTAAATAATGTTTTTATTAAGTCAAAAAATAATAGAATTGGAATAATTTTTTTATTAATTCAAAAATAATAAAAATAGATACTTATTAAATTAATCAAATAAAAAAATAATACAAGGTTGAAAGATGAGATTTTTGTCTAGATTCTAGCAACTGTCTCTCACATTTCTTACATTGAAGAGCTAAAACTTAAAAACAAATAAAATTTAATATTAAAATTGATTTCTTTTTAATTTTAAAAATTAAAGGACTAAGTATTAATAATTTATAGAGTATAGAGACTAAAATAAACATTATGCTAAAACTTTTGAACATCACACATTCTTTAAGTGTTTTTTAGTTTGATCCCTGTTTTTCAATCTCATCATCCCCCAATGAATTAATTAATAATTTGGTTTAATAAAAGCGAAATTAAAAAAAACTAATACATTTATATATTATATGATGCGGTCCGGGGATTCACAATATATTTTGCACAATAAATACCCATTACATTTAATTCTGTAGTTAATAATTGGATTTGTTGAAATGCATAGAAACTTGGATTGGTTTATGGTTTGCGTACATGCATGCACGTCAAACGACAGCATTTTATCATCACAATTTAACGATACCTGCTCTTGAAATCCCTAAGTGATTGATTTTGTCGGGCATCCTTCTGCTGAAGATGTGGGTGTTTAATTTTGTTCAAAATTATGGAAAGCGACAGGGCGATTCCATAGGAAGATACCTTGAGAGCAATGGACTCAGCCTTCCCCTCACGTCGAGATTTCTGTATTGATGCCTCAGGTGGGAGCCACATTCCCTCAAATGATACTGTTTCATTGTGGGGTCCATATGCTCACGCACCTTTTGCCATGTCATATGGCTTCGTGGCCGTCTGTATCTGTTTTTTCTTTCCCTTTGCAACATCATCATCTTGAATTTTCCTCACCTTTTGCTGCAACTTGTCATATTTTAACTTTTGGTTTTTTACTTTTTTGAAAAATATAAAAAATAGTAAAAGTAACAATATATATATATATATATATATATATATATATATATATATATTGATGTAGTTGTATTATTTCTTAAATTTTAATATCTTTTTAAAAAAATTAAAAATTAAAAATTATTAAACCTTATACAATTCATAATGTATATTAAACTTCTAATTATTAAAGGATATTTTAATTAGTTTACTTTCTTATCTTTATTCTTACATAGATTTATATTTATATTAATTTGTGTTTTTACTGTAATATTAATAATTATAATAATTATTAATATTTATATGAAAATTATTCTTGACACGAATAAATATATATCAAAATAGTTTATATTTTTTTATTATCTAAAAGCTTAAACAAAAGATATAATTTTATATTTATTAATAGTGTTATCAGTTTTCATCTTTTTTTTTTAAAGATCCACTTATGGTCTAATTGTTTATTTTTAGAACAAAGATTCACTCGTTTCCATGTATAATTATTTATAATAGATTTAATTTTACTATTAATTGTTCATTCCAATAAAAAGTTTTCGAATAGAACATTACCTCAAAGTAGGTTTAAGGCTTCTTTATTAACAAGTATGTTAAAAAATTATGACCAAATATTTTGGTCATTTTTGCCTTTTTACTCTTTCCAAGCTCAATTTCATCAACTTCTAATTAATAATGATTACTTGAGCTAACATCAATTATTATTTTAAGTGAATGATTTTCTCATGTTTCTTTACATGGAA